TGTTWCWGTTMSWGTTCGKRTTCGGATTCGGATTCGGATTCTGGACCCCACCCAGGAAAGCMGCATCCGTTGTTTGGAGAGTCCGTGTCGCGGTTTGCATCTGTAGCTGTAGCAATGCAACGAGGAGCACAAGAGCCATAGATCTGGTCATGGTCATGGTCGTTGTTGTTTTCGTTTTCGTTTTCGATCGAGTCTTGGCCGGGCGGTTCGGCAGAGTGGTCCGGTTTCTCCGTCTGCTTCTGTTTCTGTTTCTGTTTCTGTTTGTGGGTCTTCGGTGAACTGGGGACGAATCAACATCTGTATCGGTGTGGGTTTTCGTTTGTGTTTCTGATTCTGTTTCTGTTTCTTTCTCTTTCGCGGCTTTGCCTGCGGGATCGTCACCGAAACCGAAACCGAAACCAAAACCAGTACCGGACATAACAATGACATTCTGAGGTCGTCCACCGGTGCTCGGAAAAATTGCGCTGATCATTGGGGAATCTTTTTGCACATCGTGTCTCGGAACAGAACAGAACCGAACAAGTGGGTGTACAATGTCATACAATGGGTGGATGGAGTGGCGAATGGATCTACGAATKGATCAATGAATGGATCGGTGACTGAACCGATCCTTAAAGAAGCGAGCAATACAGTAGCGGTTGTTGGTACCATCTACCGGAAACTGGCACTTGTATTGGATAATGTTGCAGGTGAAAAGACCCAATGGAGAAGACATGCCAATCCTCGAGATGGCATTTGTGTTTGACGGACGGCACTAGTCGACTTCCGAAACGGCAGAAAATCAGGTACGGTATGCGTATTACGTTCATTTCTGTACCGTGTTTCAACAGAATTAGAAGTACGAAGCAAGATACATACCGGTACTGTAGTCTAGTGTACTGTASTGTACCGTAGTGTAATGTACTGTACGGTACCGTACCGTACGGTACTTATCCAAGAATTATCCAAGAACCGAAGATTCGTGATGTTTCTGTTCTTTCTCTCGAATGAAGCTTCTAATCAGAGCAGACGCGCATTTTTTATGGCGCCTGGTACCAATTCAGTCGTTCTTCTTCTACCGTACCTTGTTGTTGCTCATAACCTGTAGAATACTAATAGGCTCTTTAGTGTACGTGAATMCGTGGTTTACAATAAAGAGTGAGCTTATTCACTATCTACTCGTGACACACGTGCTTAGTTAGTTTTGATTGATAGGACGAAGATGTGAATCCAAATTTGCAAAAGGGCTCGGGATCTATCCAGTGGTGTGGCCACCTGCGTCTTTTTCTATGGCCTAGAAAGGGATGAGATACTTCACAACTGACCAATTAGGCAGATTACATTCTATTCTTGATAGTAATTTGGTCCCGTCGATGGATGATGATTCTTCGGCCTTTTTCTTCTATAGGAGTCTATTGTCTGCTGCAGGTTTGGTTCCGTGTGCTTGAGTGTTCTTGGTTTTCGCTTCCGCTTCTTCGTTCCCCCACGGATCGGTTTGGTTTGGTTTCACAAATGGCGGTTCTTGGTGGATTCTGTGCAGCATTTTTTGCGTAGCTCTGCGCTGCGTTTGTGTGTGCCGCGCTAGTCCCCGGTTCCTTCCGTTGTTGCCCTCCGCTGCGCCTCCGCGAGGAGCTCGATGGCCTTCCCCAGCCGGTCGGAGTGGTGCGCCAGCTCCCCGAGGCGCTTCTCCACCACCGAGAGGCTCGTGCCGACCCTGGAAACCTCCCACCAGAGCAYCACCACCATCGCCAGCAGGGCCGTGAGCAGGGCCGGGAGGAACCCGAGCGGTGGCCGCTGCGGTCCGAGTTGCCCTTGCGGCCTGTGGTRGTGCTGATGCTGCTGCTGMTGYTKCTGCTGCTGTTTCTGCTGCGGTGCCCCCGCAAAGGGCCCTCCCTCCTCGCCGGCTTCCGGCCCGATTGGGGCCGGCGGTGGCTGCCTCGGCCCCTTTGGTTGCTTCTTGTCGTGCCGTGTCTGGTTCGGGTCCAACGGAGGGGCAACGGCGATCGGTGGTTTGGTTTCCCTGCTGCTGTTTCTGC